CAATTTGATATATTTTGCCAGCAAACTCGAAGCAAACATTGCAATAAGAGTACACAAAACCAAATGAAATATTTTAATAATGAAGACAAATAGAATCTAATTAATGCAGCATTATATAAAGGACAATTTTATGAATATTATAATATTATATTTTTATAAATTTTCATAAATATAAAAAACAAATATTGCTTTCAAAACAGTTTGTCTTCACGGTGGTCGGCACGGGAGGCGTCGCCATCTGCTACTGCTGATAGTCAGACACATTACCTTGCCAATAAAATATTGGGGAGCCCAGGATATGCCTGGGGAAGAGCGACCCCAGCCGAAGAACTGCATTTTGTTAACTTTAAACACTAACCATACAGTATATAGATGTGCCAGTTCATGCATCGAAAGGGGCGCAAGCTGAGTGTTCTGTCCCGGCTCCCAGCGCTTCGGCTCTGTGAGGCTGAGACACTCGGGTCGGGAGCCAGGCCATTCGGGTCGGGAGCTGGGCCGTTCGGCATGTATGACTCATGTCGGGAAGCGAAAGCAAGCTGAGAATTGCAAATGTATGTGTGTAAACAGACACGACAAAATTTTGTATCAATTCTTATTTTCCGAAACCGTTTTGAGTTTGTTTTGAGTTTCGTTTCCAGGTTACGTAAATGTGTGTGTGCCATGTATTCACACATACTGTGCTTGTGTGTGGGCTCTACAATTGTTGGCCGCTTGAATTGGTTTTTCGTTTTGTTTTGAGGGCTGATGTGATGTAGCGACCTATTCAGGGCCGGATCAACCCTTAACCGGGCCCTGGGCAACCATCAATCTGGGGCCCTTCTTTATTTTGTATTTTTCTCAGTGGCTATTATATTTTGTATTCATTATTTGGAGTTTTGTTTTTTCAACAAAATTTTTTTGTTATTTCTAGGAGGGCCCTAGGCAACTGCTAATCCGGCCCTGGACCTATTCCCGTCGTAAGACTTCATATTTTCTTGGTGTGTTCTGTCGCTCGACTCGACGCGGGTCGGGTCGAGGCATTGACGAAGCCGAAAGCAGAGGCAAAGGCAAGCCGAAAGGAGAATGGAAGAAATACCCCGCGTGCCCGACGCAACAACAGCTTTTCAAAACAAAACGAAAAAATTTTTTATGAACGGGCTTCGTCAATGCCTCGACCCGACCCGCGTCGAGTCGAGCGACAGAATACACCAAGAAAATATGAAGTCTTACGACGGGAATAGGTCCAGGGCCGGATTAGCAGTTGCCTAGGGCCCTCCTAGAAATAACAAAAAAATTTTGTTGAAAAAACAAAACTCCAAATAATGAATACAAAATATAATAGCCACTGAGAAAAATACAAAATAAAGAAGGGCCCCAGATTGATGGTTGCCCAGGGCCCGGTTAAGGGTTGATCCGGCCCTGAATAGGTCGCTACATCACATCAGCCCTCAAAACAAAACGAAAAACCAATTCAAGCGGCCAACAATTGTAGAGCCCACACACAAGCACAGTATGTGTGAATACATGGCACACACACATTTACGTAACCTGGAAACGAAACTCAAAACAAACTCAAAACGGTTTCGGAAAATAAGAATTGATACAAAATTTTGTCGTGTCTGTTTACACACATACATTTGCAATTCTCAGCTTGCTTTCGCTTCTTATTTTACTATTCAGACTATTTTAAAAAAAATAGCCAAATCGGTCCAAACATATTAATTTAATCTGTTCTATAAGCACTCTAAACCGACTGAATTTATATTTTGATTTATATAATACTTTCCATACAAAAAATCAAGCAAACGTTTGATAGCCCTGGAAAGACCTACATCATACAACAATATTAACGGAGAAAAAATAAAAAAAATCAGAAACCATGAAAATCAGTCCAGCCGTTCTAAAATCGCGATTTTCCGAGCCGGGGTCGCCTTTTCAATAGATTTTCGAAGCTACTGTTAGTCGGAATGGAGACAAATTCAAAAAATCAAATACCATCGGTCCAAAAAGTTATTTTTGTTTTGTATTTGTATTATTTCATTTATATCAATAAAAAACGAGATGGAACATGTGAGTCGCTTCTGGGGACGCGACTCTACTTATACCCGTACTCAGTCAGTATATACATTTTTGAGCTTATGATTATTTAGAATTTTAAAATTAAATAAAAAATTTTACCTTTTAAATTTGTTTGCTACATCTGTTATCTACATCTACATCTACAATGTATATTATACATCTAACATGTAGATTATACATTTACCATTTACCATTTAGATTTTACATGTACCATTTAGATTCTACATCTCCTCCGCAAGGGGTTGCTCGCGCACTGAACGCGGCAGAGTGTGTGAGCGAGAAAGAGAATGAGTAGCGTGTTTCTGGCTGAGGAAGCGTGGGAAGCAACTAAAAATTAAATTTCTTCATTCTGGCTATAATTATGATCCGATCTGATTCAGATTCGGCAATCTGGTAGATATGGTCATTCTTTAATATACTGCGTTTCTAGTTTTATCGTATCTTCAAAGTTGTGGCTGCCACAGATTTTCGTTTTTTGTGGGACGGAAGGGGGCGGTGCGAAATTCTGAAACACACTTGTAGCAGTGTGATATCACATGAGTCTGGAAACCAAATTTGGTTTCTCTAGCTTTTATAGTCTCTGAGATCCAGGCGCTCATCGAGACGGACAGACGGACGGACGGACAGACGGACATGGCTATATCGACTCGGCTATTGATGCTGATCAAGAATATATATACTTTATGGGGTCGGAAACGTTTTCTTATCTGCGTTGCAAACATCCACTTTTACCACAAATCTAATATAAAAAAGAGTTTTTGAGTACGGTTATAACAAACTCGTATTATTTCGATTTAATCGTGAAGCCTTCACATCAGCAAATGTAGCCATATCGCTGCCTTTATTCGCATACTTGCAAATATGTTTGATAGATTTCACTGAACTACAGAACATAACATTAATGTGAATGTTTTGCTCAGCAGAGGAGAATATGGTACTACCCATCGACTGTCGATGTCTACGTTGTTGATATTTATCATGAATGAGTGTACACAATTATCAATATTTCTTCCTCAATATATTGGATATTTATCGACTTTGGTGAAATCTTTTGTAAAATGCTTTGTAAATTTTCCATATTTTATGCAAGGCGATATGCGATTCATATCGGATCTGGAATTTCCGCGGAAATTACACTATCTATTTCCTCAGGGCGTATTTTGTCGACTAACATAATAAAAATGTGTGCATTAGGTAATCCTCGTTTTTGCCATTCAACTGAATACATCCAGCATTTTGTTTGACCGTGTAATTTTGTAACGAATCTTATTAAATACTCCAAGACTCTAACTATGCGACTGGCTATTGTCACCCCAATGTGCATCTACGCGATTGGCGAGTGCGAGATTTATGTCCTTACCACCCATGAAGTATATTTGTAAAAATGTATGCTTCGGTTGGCATTGGCAGCAACGAGCCTACATGGTGGTCCACTTGTCCTTTTATTTTAAATGTGGAATTTTATTAATTTGCGAAAAGACTTCAGGAAGATGTTTGAATCTAGATCCGTGCCGATGAGCATGCTTTTCAATGGTTCCGGTGATGCGCAACACATACCATTTGACTAATGCTTATATTTGAGCGAGTGACAATGGGCACATTCTTTGTCCCTAGCACCAATCAACACTTCCTGATTGTATGTATGTGTATGAGAATGCATGCAATTGCGAAATGCCCTCACGCACATTTTCGTTATTTTCATCGATCCGTTCGACTGTTCTTTCTGCTCTATTTCCCATGAATGTTGCATTATTTGTTCGACGGCGCAACTGGACATCTTGCACGTATTTTTCACTGTATAATAGCCTTTTACACTGCCGCATCATTGTCGAAGGTGCGGAAAATGATGCGAGTTGTTTACACCAAAGCCGCATCTTTTTTCGCATCATTTTTCAGCTTTGTTGTTATTGTTTGATGCGATAAAAACAGCTGTTTGCTATCGATAACCCATCGATATCCGTCGATACCCCGAAGATTTGCAGTATTTTGTAAAAATACTAGACAGAATACGGCCGCATGATTAAAGATGCGGCCGCATCATTGTCTTCTTCTATCCACAGGGCCCTTATGGGCACCATTGTCGCATGTTCCATTTAACGGAAAAATCCAATGATGCGCCCAGTGTAAAAAGGCTATAAGACACAAAGTTAACCTTCACAAAAAACTTTAAAAAACATACAAATATTGGATCGAGATCAGGTCACAAAACACACTGACAACTAAGCCAAGGCACTACTTGTTCCAAAAACATTAAACATAAATTAAACATGCATGGGTGGTAATATGAAGATTAGAAATATTTTACGACCTATGCGCAGACCTACTTGATATACGATGTCGCAATAATGTTGCATGATTTATGTGACGTTGCAATTTTACTTGATACAAAAACATAAAGATATTAGATTATGTCACAAAACACACTGGCACGGCTAAAATAAAGCACTACTTGATAAAAAACACTAAAATCGCGATTAAAAGTTAATAGGTTGTAATATGAAGATCAAAACCACTTTACGACCAGTCCAGCCGTTTGGAAGGAGTTCAGTCGCAAACACTATGACACGAGATTTTTAAGTATATAGATATAATATATATAGAAATAATATATATAATAATAATTATAATATAATAATATAATATAATAATATAATATAATATATATATAATAATATATAGAAATGTACATATGTATGTTTCAAGAGAAATTTTAGGCCTTTATCTACATAAACATGGGTACCGTACCACGCGCAGGCCAAATTAAGGTCTTTAATGAGATTCATTACATAATTACATGTATTCGGTCAAACAAAATGCTAAATGTATTCAGTTCAAGGGATTACCTCATGCACTCATTTTAATTTGGTTAGTTGACAAAATACGCCCTGAGGAAATATATAGTGTAATTTCAGTGAAAATTTCAGATCCGCTTACTGATCAACTACGGTTCGATATACATAGTTACCAAATAAAACATTATTCATGGTCCATGAGGTGATCTGAAGCGCTTATCACCTTGCATGAAAGATGGAAAATGTACAAAGTTCCAAAAGATTTCACCAATGGTACAATCACAAACGTCGAAGGATATTCATTATATCGAAGAAGAAATATTGATAATGGTGGCCAATCACTTATGATAAATATAAAAAACGTTGACATTGACAATCGATGGTTTTTAAAAAAATTTGTATTGTATTGTATATTGTACATATTTATACATATACTTATAGTTAATTTTTGATAATATTTTTCAGCTTAATCGGTTCAAAACTATTTGATATTTTTAAGACAAACCAATTCAAAATGTTTATTTAACATTTCACATATGCATATAGGTATTTACATATATGTATGAAGATTTATTGAAAAATCAAGCAACAAATTATTAAAGTAGTTTTAACATTTACATTAAATTTTGAATCCACTGAAATGAAATCTTATTGTTCGAAAATTTTCTTATGGTAAAGAGCTTTTGACTCTTAATAACAGTGGAACGCTGAGCTTTTCTCAAACGAGATCAACTTGTTGTGAAAGCGCATGCGCGAGTGCGGTCACTGGTGGCTGTTCCAAGCAAAACGTAAAATAAAAAAATTAACCATTTTATTTACTTTGTGTTCATTTTCCCAGATAACCATTTACGATTATTTCACCAATAAAATTTTAAAACCTTAATATGGAATGTATGCTAATGTATTTTATAAAACAAAATAAATACGTTTCTAGCGCAGTTTGCAACATTTTTGGTGAAAATTAAAAGAAAGTTGTGTATATATTTAGTTCATGAGAAACATTTTTGTGAGTCTTACCATTTACAATAGATTTTGAAATTTGTGAGTGATTTCCCGAAGTGGATTTTGTTGTTTTGTTTACTTGTCACAACATTCTGTTGTGTATGTATATTTTCGCAAGTATTCTTATACACACGTAGATGTGCATGTAGTTTGGTTTTCTTGATCAAAAGTCTTCATGAAAAAGAATAAATTATGTATCTTCATACTCACTTATGTATATCCATGTTAGTTAAACCGGAGTTTTCCCTTTGTGCCAACATATGTATATATACATATATATATGTTCGTAAATAGTATATATGCACATACATATGTACGAACAGTGCATATAGCCTACTTTCTCTAAAGATCAACTACTATGTACATATGTATATATTTTTTATTACAAATGTGCTTATTTATGTACTTATGAATGATACGGATGAAAATAAAGCTGAGCCCAAAAATAAATTTGTATAAAATCAAATTCAATAATCGGTTATTTTAATGCCGACAAAAAACGGAACAACTTGATCCGGGTACAATTTGAAAAGAAAACAACCACAAATATACCCGTTCGTTTTCGTGCTTTTCAAAATTTCGTAGCTCTCAATTCTCCTAAAATAAATGGTAACCAATTCTTCCATTGACTCTTAAGTGTCTCAAATGGTATAACAGGTACATATGTATAAACTCGGTTCTTGAGAAGAAACAAGTTAATCATTATCATTAGTAGAACCTGGCCCGTCTTTGATGTCTAAAACATTTCAGTTTTGGGCTCTTGGCTATATGTATACAATTTTGGTAAGATTAAATGTTTCTAATACACAGAATTTCCAACCACATATATTTTATTCAAATGGGATGACTAGTGTAGCTACATCGGAACGATTAATCTGGTAGAGTATCAAAGGACTAAGGCCTCTAAAGCCTACCAGGTTTCTTAAACATCTAAGTTTGTTATGTTTAAGCTAGTAACAACGTGAACACAAAATACTTACAGTTAATCCTTTGCTGTTAACATAAGGTCCATAACTAACTAAAAACATATTTTCGTACTCATATTTTGCAGGCACATTAAAATGGGCAATTCTGGCAGCTCCCATCAAATGAACATCCAGAGACAAAATAGGGACCCGCATGCTAAAAATCTCTCCCAACAGTTTCGCCAAAGCTCACATCGTAATTACGATTATGCAAAATCTGACATAAGGTCGAGTCCTACTCCACAAAGAGGGCACAGCCAGCAATGGCGGAAGTCATATCCGACGTCGAACAGTCAGAAGCTATTACACTACAAAACAGATGAGAGTGTCCAATTTAAAGTACTGCCCCGGATTGACAAGAGTCTTCACCTACGAGCCACTACGAATGGAGCAATACTCAATTCTGGAGGTACGATCAGCGGTCGAAGGCTGAGTGAAAACCCTGTTTCATACCCAATGAACGTGCCAATGCAAAGATCGCGGACCTTTATAGTCGAATCTACAAATCACTCAATGCAGACAGAGTTTACCCGTTCACAAACGCTTCATCATGTTAAAGCGAATTACAAAAGAGACAATTTAGTATCAAATACAAAATCTAATTTGTCCCAAATGCAACGACACACATATTCAGAGCCGGAACTAGTAAAACAAAATTTTAATGAAACTGCGATGAATCAATCACTAGCTAGATCGGAGAAAAAGAACAAGTACACTAAAAAACGTAGGGCTCCCGAAGTGCCTACTGAAACAATGAATATTGAAGCTGCCGTTCATCCAGAAACAGCTAAAAAAGATAACATCTCTACAAGTATTAAGATTAAAAATGACCAGGGCAGACAAACTCATTTCTCGAAAAATACCGATCGACTGACTACAGTAAATAAAGCATCAAATTTATCATTTAAGAGGAAAAGTGCGGAACGAAACTCTGTTGGTGGAAATTGCAGGCCAAGTGTACCAATGCAGCGGTCGAAAATGACCTACAGGCGTGAAAAAAGTTCTGATGCTATTATAATAAGAAGTAAGAATGCAAAGGAGGCTAATGTTAACACAGAAAACATTGAAGATAAGAAAACTCATTACAAACAGAATAGCCATTCTATTAAAGAATCATCCATGAATTCTATATCGAATACAAAAGAAACAAAAAATGCTTCTGCTCCGACCCCCGAGGTTCAAAATCACAGACGAACATTTTATTTCGGCATGGATGTCAACACTTCCACAGAGACTCGCCAAGATTCTCAAGATAACAACAAAGTTCTGCAGCCAATTAATGGATTTCCACCAGATCCTCCTGCAAAGAATATCGTCTCTAACCCAATTACGTATAATAACGAGAAAAACGTTATTTCAAATGAAGTTACATCGCTGCTTTTTGTTCCGAACTATGATATTGAATATAGAAAGTCAACAAGTCAAGAGGACAGCGTTGATGACAATGGTTTGCGGCTTTGCATCCGCCCTACTCTGCCACGTCGTCAACTTGATACGCCTTCCTTTAGCCCGGCGTTAGCTTGGCGCTCTCTTTTTGATGATGAAGTTCAGATTGATAGAGATATGAATATACCATCAGATCCAAGTAGTTACCTAAAAACAGAAAAAACCGAGCTGCCAATTCAACCGAGCTATATTTACGAACTAAGACATGCTCGCAAAGTAAATAACTTGCAAAATCCATGGACGCCTGAGCAGGACCTGTGCGATCAAATTGATGACAGAGCGGGGAATCTCAACACAGATTCAGACTCGAGCTCGGACGACTATCGCTCTAAATGTGAGGGAGAAGCTTTATTATTCTACGGTAGCAAGTCAAAAATATCTTCCCATAATTCGGTATCACCCCTCCACACCTTTAGTCTTTCTCTACCTAGAGATGGTCACTTACAACATGCGCGGAAGCTTGATAATTTAAAGTCAAATGATGTCGGTTTAGTATTCCAAGACATAGAAACGATTTACTATTAATTCATTGTATATTATTTTATAGGTATCCATTTACAAAAGCCTTCGAAAAAGAAAGCCCGAATTTTTTTTTAGCAAACGTCCTGTTTGTGGAGTTACCAGCTTAAATGCTCAGACCACGGGTATTTCTGTAACTAAAATTGATGGCTTCGAGAACTGGATGCTACATAAAAATGTCGACAAACACGCAGTTTGCTTGAATATAATTAAAGATACAGATAACAGACAGGAATTACCTGTTATTGAACCACAATCATTAAAAAAACTAGCTGGGGGAAAGCACGTAATGTATCTGCCCGGAAACAACGAAAAACCATCTTGCAATAGCGATAGAGGTGAGCTCGAAACTTGCAAAGCAAAATCCAGTCGTCATTTCAAAAGCCGACAACGCCACGTACCTGAAAACCTGCAGGACAAAACTCCAGTATATCCTATTTCGGTATGGAATAACGAAAAAAATATGAAAATTCATTAAATTAAAAATATAATTTCTTTCAGAGTGTAACTGAGACGAATCTAAAATTTGCCGACAAGTTTCATCAGCGATTTACATTCCATAATCCAGTGCGCTTATTGGAGAAGTTGTATTCAGATAGATCAATGAAAGATACTGAAGATACTGAAAACACTCACAAGAGCGAGGTTGAAGCTTTGAAAAGGTATATTTACCTTGTATTTTATAAATAATTTTTCTAATCATATTTCATGTTAGAGTGGAGGAAGACTTTCAACGCAACCGTGCCAATGAAAAAGAGAGTATTCGTCATCAGTTACAACTTCATTTTGGTCTTGAAAGTAAAAACAAAGAACTTTACCACAGCCTGCCCATTCCATCTATTCTGGATAGTTTTTCTTCCATTGACATAAATGACACCAACAATAACACGTTTTGTCGAGATGAACCGGAAGGCTGTGCCTCCAACACTTCCCCTGTGGGTCCTGAAGGCGACTCCTGCTGATCCTTATGAGGTGCGAGCGATAAAAGATATTCTCCGAAATTTGTTAGTACATAAATATGTATATAAATATACAAAACTAGCTTTTGAATAAGTGGTTTGTGTGTTCCTGGATATCAGACAGGTCTTTGATCGGATGGGACATCGATTATATTTCCAATCAGCATCACAGTCATCACAGTCGATATAGCAAAGTCCCTCCGTTTATTTATACATATGTATATACATAGCTGCAATTGTGTGAAATCCGTCTCTGACTAGAACTCGAAAAAATGCAGAACACCGCGTTTAAATTAAATGAATCGCGTAACACCAAGCGTCTGAAAAACAAAATGCATAACTATTCTGAAATTTGTTCGCTTTTATTTCAACTTTTATTTCCCAACGAATTAGCAAGTTTAAACTGTAAGTAAATATAATGCTGTGCTGCGTGCTGCTTTTTGTCAGCAATTCTTGAACCAAATTGAATAGCTCGCTTTTTCAACAGCACCGCGTCCCGCAGACCCAATTGATATCCATACAACCTTAATAGCAATTTATCACCGACACCTTCAGGAAAGCTATAGCAACATTTCTGTTTCGGCTCTAAAGACCGAACAAATTGAACAACGTTCTCCTCGATGAAAGGTGCCCGCGCTGTTTTGCCATTATCCGCAATAACGCGATCATCTCTCGCCAAATTTCGAGCAGGTATTCTCTGCCAGTCTTTCTCGAGTTCATTCTGTACAACAAGTTGACGCTCTCGGTCGTCTCCCAGACAGTGTCTATAAGCGTTTCGATGGCGATTATATCCTCCGAACAATTCATCAGCACCCGAACCTATGACGGCAACTCTGGCAGATGAGTACGTAGTATGGGTAGCGAACCAAAACGCACAGCCTAGACTCTCATCCAACACTGTCTGTAGCGGATAGATAAGATGATGGATATGTTTTGAGAGGTGAAGCTGTAATTCCTGACGGTTCACATCGACTTCTATCAGGTTCCAACACCGCTTGGGACATATTCGTTTCAGCTCAGTGTATGACTGTAACGCAGTCTTACGGTCCGGAACATTCCAGTATTCCTGTGTTGCAGCTGTATTTTGAGCAGTAATTCTTTCAAACGCCACATTAATAAGTTCTATCGGTTCTTCAGCTGGTACATATCTGTCAGCAAGGATAGCTAAAACAGTGCAATCGATGCCACCAGAAAAAAGTATACACACTTTAGCGTGGGTACAGCGAGTGTTTTGGACAATCTTTAAACAATCACGACAAAAGGGGGGCGTTTTGACTCGTGATGCCACAGAACTTTGAAGTAACTTATTGAAGGTGGCTAATGCTAATTGGATTTGGGGAAAACTAAGCAGATTTTCATAAAGCTGTTCATGGTTGTCAATATAGGCAACTTTGTAAAAGTCGAAATCAAAATCTAGTTGGCTTTTTAACAACCAATCTGGTGATATTGTACGTTTGATCATCGTTTTTCAGCCCATTGCCAAATCAAGTGTGTTGAGTTGATGGTGCGTATATTCATTCAGGGTCTGCCAGGGAAATAGTACACAGCTGCTCAACGTGTCTATTTTTAATTTGTACAGTCCCAACGGTGGCAATTCTAGTGTTGATAACTCATCGGTCCCCGAGTAAAATGAGGTGCTCAATAAATGAAATCCTTGCTGATTATGCTCTATAATCAAGACAACCTCTTAGCTATCCATAATGTGTCTGACATTGAGTCGGGTTTTTCCCAAGTTGTACAAATCTTCATTAAACAACAATACACAGTCCCCTTCGATTACAGGCTGTTTTTATATATTTACTCTCTTCTTGTTGCAGAAGTAGCTCATCCTACACATCTGGACCACGATTATTTAGGACTGTTTTTAGGGTATTATTTAGTTCAATACAGCTAACTGTATTTGGATTAATTGCGCGAAAAATTCCACACATTACAATAATAGGCTGTTTACATTGGGACTGCGTCATGCTTCTTTGCGTCTTGCCGGAGACGCAGTTTTTTTACATAGGTTAAGCATAGGGCCCTAGTGGTGGCAAAAAGTTGCGTCGGTGTCTGATTCATGTGCGTCTATTCGATATATTCGATTGCTTTTGCGCTTAACTGCACATTTTTGCACTTTTCTGCCTATCAGCGCAACTATCACCTCTAAGAACAACAAAAACTTGTAGTTTAAAAATCAAATTTTGGCGCTAAAATGAATGGTTGTGCAAAAAGGTGAAAATATACATGAAATCATGAAACAAAATACTTGAAACTGATTGTATTATTATCATACGACATTTTTGTGATCCCCTGATGCCATTATGACACTGTTGGAGACGAACTTCGATGGTTTTCATAATTTTAAGAAGAACTCCCACAAGCTCTACAAAGAAATGTCTGAAAATAATAAATAAATATAAGAATCAATTCTCTTTCGTCCATTTTCTTGTCGTCTTGCATAATTCTGTTGATTTCTCAAAATTTGTTTACTTTCCTTGTCATCAAGCACCCAAAACAAAATTCAAGACGCGCGTCTGCCAATGTAAACGCCTTTTCTGCTTCATTGCGTCTATTCCGAAATCGATAGCAGTCGCGCCCAGTGTAAAAAGGCTATAATAGTACATGCCTTAAGACCGGGAAAATATTTGTGCAAGACGGGCGATAACGATATACGATTTTTATGTCGACTATTCGATACTTCAAGCAATGTTATACATATACCTTTTTCACACGTACAACCATCCACCTTCCATTTCTGGGAAGGTCCTTAATGCCTAGTACCAAAGACTATACAATACCAGGAGGAACAAACACCCATTCAATTTTCGTTTGACTCTTCAAGGTATTCTCTTTTAAGCCTAGTACTTTGATCCAAAACCTGTTTGCTAGCAAACAAATGTCATATATTCTTCTAGCGGGCAGTGGTGTGACCAGAGGTGTGCACTGCATTCCGTACGGTTACACTGCTCAGACAGCTGCTTGGTTTTGTTTAAAGTTAATAAAATGCAGTTCTTCGGATGGGGTCGCTCTTCTCCAGGCATATCCTGGGCTCCCCACTATTTTATTCTCAAGGTAATGTTTCTGACCATCAGCAGCAGCAGATGGCGGGGCCTCCCGTGCCGAACACCGTGAAGAAAAAATGTTTTAAAAACAATATATTTTTTATATTTATAAAATAAATAAAAATAATATATAATAATATCCATATAAGTGTCCTTCATAATTTGATTCTATTTTTCTTCATTATTAAAATATTTAATTTGGTTTTTCGTTCTTATATTGCAATGTTTCCTTCGTGTTTTCTGGCAAAATATATCAAATTGATCAAAATTTCGAGGAGTTAGAAACATACCAGCAACGCCAGCAAATACCTTCGGATAGTTTTTTTTAGTATATAACGACCTTTTTATGAGCGCTTTGGATAAATAGAGAATTTTCCAGAGCTTGTAAAGATAATTTTATTTTAGGAGATATAAGTACTCAACGTTGAAAATTATTTCGTGTGAAAAAATTTGTTGAACTTTTATTAGCTTATTAATTTAGCAAGTTGAAATGGCCGAAGGCCCCACTGTGTGGCGCTGTTTCGGGCTCGCTCTACTCGTCGCTGACGACTAGACGAAGCCGTCGGGCAGCGGGTTTGCGGTCAGAGACAAGGCATAGCCGAAAAGACAATTGAAACCCCGCGCGCTCCCTCTGTCGCTGGGGCGTTCCAATAAAAACCGCCATAGAACAGCTTTTTGGTCGCTCATGTCGCATCTTGGTATTGTATAGTCTGTGCTAGTCCTTAGTTCCGAAAAAACTGTTAGAAAACAAAATCAGGGTTGATATTCGTATGAAACCGATAACAAATTTGTTCAAGCATTGTTTGCTAGGGTCTGTACGCATGATGATATTTTCCGGTATTAAATGGTATCTTTCTAGCCAGTCGAAAAAGATAAAATAGCTCTATCTTCCGCCAGGTACCCTTGCAAATACAAACATTATCATTTCAAAGAGGAGAGCAAAAAACCCAATTGAAATTGAATAATATCTATTAAATAATGAAGACAAATATAGTCTAGTTAAGGCAGCTACATGAAGGACAATTACATGGAAATTATAATATATTAGTTGTATTAATATAAAACAAACTTTTTGATTGTATAACCTCTGCGACAGCAATACCTGCCAATTCCACGTAGTACATATAATATGATTCTATCTGTTTTTTGTTTGTCTATTAATTTGATTTCGTCGATGTCCATGTCTATGCTCTTCAAAACATGTTATCGGTCGGCAGTAGGGCTGCGTTTCTGCCTGGGATGCTGCAGTCATTGCATATCAATGTCCAGAGATGCTTTATTTTAAATTTAACGTGCAAGACAAGCCATAAAAATATACCGGATAGAGAACACTACACATGACCACAGGACACAGATAACACTAGTCAACACGACAATTAGTCTGTGGCCCAAAATTATTTTTTCTTATAGACTTCGGGGTTTACAATTTTTAACGAATTATGGTTTTTTTCTATGGCTTCTTTTTGAAGAATTTTTGAAGTCTGGTATTTTTTTTAAGCTTTTTTCAGAGGTAGCGCTTCTTTTTTTCACATTACTCTAGTAGCTTACGTCTGGTTGTAAGGAACTTTGCTATTTTGAAAAGATAATTAAAACAGCTAGAAGTTAAGCTCAAACACTTTGTGATTTCAGCTTACCGTCTGGAAAATATTTTTTTATTATTACGTAAGTACAAAAGTACTTTGTACTCCAGTTTTAGAGGTGAACGGGTGTTTATTAGCCAATGTAGTTTTTTTAGCTTTAAATTTAAGTAGATTTCTCTTCGCTTCAATTTGTTTACGCCAAGTAAGCCTTCTACCTAGATGAACACCAAGGTATGTTACTTTCTGTTTGATTAGGAGCTCCAGGAGAAGATTTTGATTGCGTATAAGCTCCTGCATCGTTTGTTGTATTGCTACCATTGTGTTTGTTATAGTTACCAGCATTGACTCTAATCCACTAGGCAATTGGGGTGGATTAGCAGGGGTATGTTGGGCAGAGATTTTTGGGATCTGATTTGATGCCTGACGCTGCATTATTCCAGCTGTGGTTGGTTGAAGTGTCGGCTTAGAGACTGAGGCGTACGACCCGTTGTTGTAACTTAACGCCTGAGCAAAAGGAACGCCTGGAGTCGTAGTTGATGGTATATATGGCAAGTTTTGTTGGACGACCTGGTTTCGATCTGCAGTTATTTGTTGGTTTAGGCGATTTTTCAATTCTTTATAGACAGGACAACCTC